AATTCTGGTTACAACCGTAGAAACGACAGAGCGTCATAGATGATTTACGAATTTATATCGATAGCGTTTGTCTGATGCGACATAGCCAACTTACCTTGCATTTTACAATCCCAATATTACCGGGTACATTTTCAAAATTCGATGTATCGTCGATGGCTCCAATCGCACCCAATTCTTGAAAAGGATTAGGGGGAGGTTAAGGTATTTTTTCAAATCATTAGAAACATATTTTATGCCTTTTATACTGTTTTATTTATAATTTAACAATATTAGAATACAATATAAAGCAACAAAACAAATAATACTTATTAAACTTTGGTATAAAAACAGATCATTAAGTGTCCACTAGTACCGAACATAGCTCAGAACGTAACACAACAGTTTCATTGACACTTATTTCTTTGAATTTTTTCTTTGTTTTTTCATTCTTCTTTCGTTCACTTTCTACTTGGTCAATTTATTTATTTACTTTCGCATCTTCTTGCTCTTCAGTTCCCTTTTTCTTGGCATTAGGTGAGGGTAATACTTTCAGCAAAACTAGTAGATGGCTGCTCATATCCCATCGTGGAAGTGAGATTTTGCTGATTCCTCATTTCTTCCTATGGAATATTTGTCACTTCACAACCTGCATAAACTCCATTATATTAGTACGAATACAAATAAGCAAAATTTAGATTCGTAGTGCCCGGTAATAGGGGACGATGATCTCTCCGTAACCAGGGGACAACAAAGCCATAAAAAAAAGTTTGTTTTAACAGTTTATAATTTGTACGATACACTAGCTTCAAATTAGACGCAACGATCAACTGATTTTTCTATCCGTGTACGCTTGACTACAATATGGCGAAACTCGATCATTGTTTGTTCTATCCCTATTGTCGTTTATGCTAAATAACGATCTACTGTTCGGTTTTAGGGTAACTCTCCCTCCGGCGGAATCTTTCAGGCAATGCAAAGGGTCGAAATCGCGTCCTCCCACGCAAAACTCGTCCGTCGAACTCGGTACCGGTCGCTATTAGCCGAAATCGCCGGGAGTACCACGAACACCCAGGTTCCCGGTTTCCGCGTGACGGGAAATTACCATAATCCAACGGTATCGCGACGTCCCCGTTCGGCCCGTTAACGTAACTCGTCTTGCACATAATTTTATCGTCGGCGGTCCTAGGTTCGCGGGGGTAACAACACGCTGACACGCAGCGAGACAATATCGCCGGTGCAAGTAGAATCCGTAGACGCAAGCTGTGTCGACGGAGTTACGGTCAAATGTACACACAGATGTAAACGTGCATCGAAGATGCGCATTAGCGGGCGTCCGTGTGCGGCCCCGGCCCCGACCTGGCCGCCTCTCTACGTGTCCCGCGTTCGCGACAATGCCCCAGGATGTATATCAGCCTGCGGCTGTCATCGCCGTATCTGCCTCGAGACCGATATCAACCACGGTATTAACTCCGAAATGCCGGCTGCCTGATACAATTATCCACCTACGCCTCCCAACGGCCCTTAATTACCTCTCGATTAATATTTAATCCCCACTTCTTATCGTTCAGGACAAACTCATCCCCCCCGCCTTTCTCTCTCCCCTTCTTTTTTTTTTATTTTAATTTCCTTTTTTCCCCACGGCGAAAAGACATCGAACAATTTCTGTAAGCTAAACTACTTCGTCCCTTCCCGGGTAAGCACATTAGAATTGAGTTCAGGGTAAACTCGTCCCCTTCTATTTTTTTTTATTTTAATTTTCTTTTTCCCCCCCACGGTGAAAAGACATTGAGCGATTTTTGTGAGCTAAACTACTTCGTCCCTTGCCGGGTAAGCGAGCATTAGAATTTAGTTCAGGGTAAACTCGTCCCCATCTATTTTTTTTATTTTAATTATCTTTTTTCCCCCACGGTGAAAAGACGACATTGAACGATTTTTGTGAGCTAAACCACTTCGTCCCTTGCCGGGTAAGCGAGCATTAGAATTGATCTTTGTTGGCGTAGCGCATTTCGATCCGACTAAATTGTTGGGTTATAATCGAGTTCCGTCGCCGGGGGCGGCGATCCATCGCGTGTCGCCGCCGCCCACCGCTGGAAAATGTCGAAGCAACGAGCCACGAAAATTATTGTATAGCAATCTTCCGCAACGTTGGAGGATACGCGTCGTTATAGCCGGGCGACGGAAACGGTGGCTCCGCGGTACAACTCGCCTAATACGATACATTAAAGGTTACAAAGGGCGGGCGAATCGAATCCCGGGTATTTACGCGCCGCTGTTGGGGGTCGTGAAAACCGATGGACTCTTATAAACGAACGACGGCCAGCCACGCGGGCTGACTTAACCGGGACGCGTCTTGCGAGCCTTCTCGCGGGGAACAGAAATCACGGGGGACTATTGCAGCCACGGATACGATATATCGCGATCCGTTTTCCCTCCAAACCCCCCCGTATAAATATGGATGGGAACGACGTAATGTCGCCGATATAACTTTCCGCCTACGGCGCAATAAGAAAGAACGATACGCCAGCGACTGGAAACACGCTAATGCAGCCGTGTAATATCTCTCCGTTACTTCGGTATCGACTGGAAACGACCAAAATATTGCTTTCTGAGATTGTTCGCGTAGTAGTGCATCTCCTCCTTCTGGGATATCTATTGCCTCGCCGATCGAAGCCATTTCTCGTAAAGTAGTTTTTTTCTTTCTAATTACGCATCGATGGTACCGAAAATTTTCCGTGCCTATTCGTTGGGAGAATTTTTTATTCGATGTCTAACCGAATAGAAATTTTAACGGTTGAAAAAATAGATATCGGTTTCGTGCACCGCGGAAAACGCTAGATTAACCAGACTAACGATCCAGATGGACGCAAATGTTTATCGAGCGTAGTAATACTAGTTGCCAATTACTGATACAAATCCGTGCAAAAAAAACTTGACAAGTTTCTACGTTTCGAACGCGTTTTTTTTTTTGTGGAAGCTGAAACTGTTGACTGGACGCTTCGATAAAATCGTTTCTGTTTAAAATGAAGAATAACCTTGACGCACCTACCTTGGAAACGTTCGTTTCTGTCGTTGGAAATAAACTACTTACCCAGATGAACTGTCTTAAATCCCTCGACACGGTCCACCGGATTTAATATAGAGGCACGGTGGAATTAAAAACTTACTATGTCACGAACGTGGAAGTATCTACTATAAATTCCATACGCTTGGTCGATTTACCGTCCCCAGCCATCGAAGGGAGCAAGAATATTGCTGGAATTCCGTCGATGCCTTCGGCGATATACCCCTTGTTAGTAGAAAATTGAGTTTAACTGAAAGTGCCCCATTCGCTTAGTCCCTTCTTGTCGCGGGACCTTATCACTGCCTTTTTTCCTCCATTTTATTTTCGATCTTTTATACACCGTCGCGCAAAGATCCTCCCACGCGTTGTTTCAAGATCAAAGGACTGATCCAATCAATAGTTAAGAAGCGCAATTTTTTTTCAATATAAACGCGGTCCAACAAATTGTTTACAAAGTGTAAATTGTTCTGTTAAACGTTGAATAATTTTATTTCTCTAAATACGGAAGATTCTTGAAAAAGATCGAACAAAAGATTGCTTGCGTGTAAAACCGTGTACGCGGGAGTATATATTTCTTTTTTCCTAATTATTTTGCTCCGAAGATGCTTCGCCGTAATGCTCGGCAGAGTGGTCCTTAATTATAGAAATAAAAGCAAACGGGCGCGCCTTTGTTCGACCCGTCGTCGGCCGCATTCATTCGACGCGCGAAGCTGAAAGTGCGTGGTTTTCAAAAGAAAAACCAAGAGCACTTTTCACGTTCTCCCTTCAACCGTTCGAGGGTCGTCGGTGACCATTTGACTCTTCCTGTCGCGGATGCAAACCACAAGCGAAGCGTTACGTACAGACATTTTCTTTATTTCAAGGCTTTCATACAAATGTAAACACTCACGACGAAAGTAACGGCAATAGTCGTATTCTGCTTGGTGAAAAAAAAAATATATATATATATATGTATATGTACGTATTTAAGTATGTAATCTGTTCATGTACAAAATAGATTATTACAAAATTTCGTTCTATACAACGAAGATTAACAATGTTCGAAGATCGACAATTAAATCTGAAGTAAACGAACATTTCCCGGCCGAACGTGCATGATCCATTGATTAAACGATAAAAATTGAGAAAGTATATATTTAAAAACTATATTTCTATAATAGATATCGAGTAGCAATACAAAACTCAATCGTCTCTAAACAGATCTACCTTCGAAATGTAACAACGAAAAAGCAATAGCCCAGCTTAATATATAATGGGACAGATCGATCGTCGGTTCTAGAATCGGCGGAAGAGATACAGCAAAGCTGTTCGCAAGATGCCTGGGAGCATACATCGTCGATCGGTGATTCCTAGATTCGTTTAAAAGTTTCGCGCGAACGCCAAATGTTATCGAGAAATCCCAGGACGACGAGTACAAAGACCTTCCACGAATAACGCCTAACATTACGCCTATTTATTAATCGTCTACGAACACATCCGCCTTAACCATTTAAAACGCGTCGATAGTCGAAGTTGAACATTCAAGTGAAATCGGATCTCGCGCGTACGCGATACAAAAGGACAGTCGAAACGCCAATCGAAACGTGTACGAATCACGTAGAACAGATCTCTGTCGTGGAGAAAAAAAACGATGGCCCTGGTCCCATTCCCGCGTCTCCAGAACTCAAGTTTCGCCATTAGTTTCCTCGCGGTAAGTTCCGTGTACCGTTGAAGCAACCAATTCCTGCAAAATGTCAGTTTTGCTCCGTGGTAGTTTTCAAGGTATTAAAGGTTACAGCCAGGTTTAAAAATGTTAAAAGTAATTTTACAAATTTCAACGTTCAATATCTTGAAAATCGTTGCAACTACGAAACTCATACTTTGCAGGACGCCCCACGCACATCATACTCTGGTCACGTTCTTAGGGATCTCTTCTAAATCGACGGAGCCCACGCTCTTCTATTACAACGCATGCAGGGAGTATTTTGTTTTATTTTTTTTTCTTCTTTTTTTTTATTGCATCGATATATTCAGTTCTGTTACAACTCGCGTATATCACATTCTTATAATACACACCGCATCGTATCGCATAACAATGACCAAAAGAAAGGTTTCGTCACACTAGCGCACCTTGGGTAAATTCACTGTATCGTTTCCACCGATCGTAGCAACAAAATTCATCGGAGAGGATAATACGGAGCTAGAAAAACGGCTGGTCTAAAAAAAAGGTTGATACGTATGTACAGAATTGATGAGAAAGAGAAATGAAATGGAAATCAAAACCAAATACTGAAAGTCGAGATTAAGGTAGCGTTTGCGACGGACGATAACTACTTTCAGTAATTCGTGTAATTAATCACCGGATACATAATCGATACTGGCACGTACTCGACGAAGTAAGGTCGTTGTCGATTCCTGGGCACGAACTCCTCCGCCAGTGGGTTCAACGGCGTGGTGAACGGAAGTTCGCGGACAAGATCGAGATGATACTTGACGGTTTCCCGGTCGGTGCCGTGAAGATCAGCGATCTCCAGATACCTTTGCCAGAGCTTTCGACAAGAGCCTATCGTTAAAAGCGCAACCGGGTCGCCGACCACGGCCACGAAACATTTCGCCCGCGTGATGGCCGTGTTCAAGAGCCTCGGATTCGTTAGGAACCCGTAATCTTTCACGTTCCTCTCCGCGGAATATCTGCAGCAGTTTCTGGTTCGAACGGTACTGATAAAGACTGCGGTGAATTGCTTCCCCTGGACATTCAGCACCCTTTCGACGGACACGTCGGACAGTTTGCGTTTCCGCAGTTCCGTGCGTATCCTCCGCACCTGTTCCGCGTAATAAGCCAACACTCCTATCGATTCCTCGCCGTATGGTCCCCAACGATCTACCGGCCAGTTGTTTTTCAACTCTAGCACACGAGTAACTACCTCGTATGCCTCCGTCTCGTGGACATAACCCGTTGAATGTATATCCTGTCGATAAAGAAACCAAGGATTACGCTGAAAAGGAAACGGTTCGATATAAATTACGCTCCGGCGCGCTCTCGAGGCTCCTTCGGACTTCAGAATCGACCGCATCGAGGAATCAGACAGCGAAACAACGAAAAAATAGTATCACCGTATCGTCTGAAAGAGCCCTGAAGCGCGCGAAGCAGTTTAAACGATCGAAACTCGTGCTAACGAAGGAGCAGTAGATTGATATCAACTGCACCTAAACGTTCCAACAGCCAGTCAGTTTCGATGACGAACGTACCTGCACTTCTTCGCTCTGAACAGCATAGAAGGTCAATGGTTTTAATACAGGATGCTTTAATAATAAATTATTAGCAGGCTTTACGACCCCATCGTAAAACATTTCGGACGTAAATTTAACGATGTCCTCGTGAGAACGGTAATTCTGACAAAGATGTATTCTACAAGGATGGGTGTGCGGGTACATTCCATAGATCCTCTCGAGAAAACTCACGCTCAGGCCACGCTCACTGGCTAGGTCGCTATAAATTTCTGGAGCGAGTTGCATTTGATCACCCGCTAGAATCAAACGTGTCTGTCTAGTGGCTAACGCCAGCGGTATCAGGACTTCACATTCTAACGCCTGAGCGGCTTCGTCGATTACTATGTGTGTGAACGATAAGTTCAAGCACGTTAGAGAGCTAGACGCCGCTAAAGTCGTCACGATTATACCGCAATCTTGGAGATCCTCCTCGGTTGGATCACGGAAAGTACCGTTATCCTTCATCAGACTATACCCTTGGACTATCGGATGTACCTGAAATCGCGCAGTGAAAGCGAAAGGAGTGTTTCGACCAACATTAACTATTTCATCTCGATGGAGAACGTACCGTATTCTTAGCCCGATCCTTGTAAAAGATTCTAACAGGCTTCAATCGTGGATACTTCTCTGTTCTGTACCAAACGTCAAAGAACTCTTTAATGTATAGATCCGCCGCACTGTTACTGTGCGTACAAAGCAGAATCTTATGCTCGCTGTTTTTCGTGAGCAATATACGAAGAGCCTGGGCAATGGTGAACGTTTTCCCAGTTCCAAATGGTCCAAGTAGCAAAATAGGTGGTAAAGGAACCTCTATGGAAGCTGTCATAATAGCCAGAGCTCTTTTCTGTTCTATGTTCAATAGAGAATTCAGTAATAGCCAATCCAAATTTTGTCTAGCGGTATACGTATCCCTGTTCAGTAGATCTAAAATTTCTGCATCTTTTATTTCCATGTGAGCCTTGTTTAAAAATACTAGTCCTATGTCTGGAAGGCTATCTACGGCTCTGTGCCATTCGCAAAATGGCAAACGATTTAACACAAATTGTACCTGCACTCTCAGATTTGTATTAGCTACCAAATTTAAAGCATCCACGCAATTTTTCGACAATCTAATATACACGGTTTGAGTACATTTGTCCTCTATGTGGCCCTCGAATATCGCATGTAAGTTCGATTTGTTCTCTATACTCTTGAGAAGCACGCTAGTGCAACCTCTCAAGAATAATCTACCACTTTTTGTATCTTCCGAGACACCTCGACTTAGTGGCATCTATGATAAAAATGTGTCATAGGTTTTGCTGAGAATTTGGTCAATGAACAAGTATGTTTACCATTAACTTATATATGCATAGTTGTACGACTAGTGGTAAGCAAACATTAAGTTCCAGTATAAGAAAGGTGCAGAGAAAGAAAAACAAATATATAACTGCTAATGGTAATCTCACCTGGGCAAAGAGCTCACCGGTCGGTGCATACTTAGCAATGGTAGACCCATCGCCAGACAAAGCCAAAATATAATGAGAAACAAGACGCACGCAAGTAAGTACATTGTATCTGGCGATTTGTTCGTGTCTAGCTAGCTCCTCCACGGTAATCAATTCGTGGAGACGACCTCTGTAATTTTCTGGCATTAAATGGGGATCGGTAAGTGTTTCTTGAGTCAAGAAAAAGTTTGTTCTGTCAGGATATGGATATATCGCAGATAATTTATCCTCCTTCGGGTCTTTTGGCGGTACAAACGGCGATTCGAATCTATGTATGTGCGATTCGTTCACCCATGTCTTTGGGTTTTGAGAAAATTGATAATCCGTAGCTGCGTAAATTCTTAAGAAGTCTTCGGTGGGTAAACAATCCATACAAATTCTTTGTAGTATCACAGGATACTCCCCAAAGTAAAATATAATATTCTGCCGGTAAGTGCCGTATTGATTGGCAGCGAACCATATTTTCACAAAATATACTTTGTTACTTTCATTTTCGCTCGCTGCATTAAATTCTACGTTACACCATTCCTGACCATTTGTAATCCCAATCTCATTGGTGCTGTCGCGCACAGATCTCAAAACAAAATTTCTGAGATTTTGATTTAAAGTTAATGCTACCCTTTGTAAAGTTTTACCTAGATAAATATAATACGTACTATGTTTCATTGTGCCAATTTATAAAAGCAATACCGCACGTTACGACAACGCCACAGAAACGCCAACGTTCGAAATAACAACAGCCGCAGAATCGACAAATATTTTCGAAAGAATATCGTTATTGTTTAGGAACACAATATCGTTTAGAAAGGTCGAGTAACATTAAATCGTCTATTTGTGTTCGCGCATCGACTTATGACCAATCGCAACGAGTGTAAACACGGCCAAAAACCACAATGTACTAGAACTTACCGCGCGCCAAAATCCGGAAATTCCAATCGAAAACAGTATCACTGTTCTTCGACCGACAGCAAAGATTCGTACCGTGGAAAAATTGTACGTCCTCTGTCTGTTTGCAAGTGACAATCTTGTCAGGATTTTCTGACTTGATCCAATCGCGGTGCACTTTTTCGGCGAAGCTGAAAGGAAACAGGTTCTTAACCTCTCCGTTGATCGCAAGCGGATTGTCGGTCATGGCCGCCAATTGAAGTTTCGAACGTTCGCGGAAATTCGAACACTTGTTGCTACATTATACCACGGTCGCGTTTTTCACGTTTTCAAAACAAAGAACGAATAATATTCTCATTACATTTTAACGCTACACCCGATCTACGACGAACGCGAGACGCTTCTGACAGAACACTATGCCACCTACGCAAGCGCATCGCACGCGCAGGTTCGATGCATTCATCGCCACCTCGCGAGAAGTTTTGCACTCGTGCATTTACGGGGGCGCTGCGACTTTATCGACGGATGAGGATAAGAAGATCCGGATTCAAATATCAACGCTTTCTCAGCCGCCCATTTTTTATAAACTATACGCTAGTACTTGGTTTTAATTAAACTTTTACAACTTTTAGAATACGAGGATTAATAATGTAAAATTTTTTAAACAATACTCGTCTCTGGTAAACTAATTAAACAAAGTTTCTTGCAATATAAAATTATTATTAGATTCCAATGAATATTCCAATAACATTTTAATAATTTTTAAAATATGTTTGCTCTAATTAAATTACATTTTGCCCAACAACGACTGCGTCATTAAATTTGCATACTTGTTGTTACGCTTGTATAATTATAAATCTTCGAATAACCTTCACGCGAGAAGTTGGACAACTAATTACTCAAGAAATGTAAAGCATGCGCTCATGTGATGCGTTCCACAGCAGTTTATGATTCTCCAATATTCTCCGTACGAGATGCGTTCCGCAGTTAAGCCATTTGCATCAAGAAGCGGAATGTTCTGCACGCAATGCCTGGTTCGCATCACCGGGTACCAAATAATCCGCACGAGTTGCAGTACCTATGCCACAGAACGATGAACAATTTCCAAGCAGTCTAGCAACTTTGAAAAAATGTGCATCGAGTCTGCTTAGATTATCGATGCAAAAATGTTTTTATAATTTTTTGGCCATCGATTCGGTTTCAGAACCTGTGCCAAAGCCCAGAACGTCCATCGTTCGCAGTATCGATTTTTTTATTTATCTCGTATACATACAGGGTGTTCGACCACCCCTGGGAAAAATTTTAATGGGAGATTCTAGAAGCCAAAATAAAATGAAAATCAAAAATATCAATTTGTTGATTGAGGCTTCTTTAAAAAGTTATTAAAAAATTATTTTTGGTTACGAGGGTCAATTAAAATTATTTTTGGTGAATAGACATACCCTCGAATTCCTACTCAGTTTCGAGAAAAAAATTCAAGTAAGTGAAAGTTTTGGGTGAAAAAAAAAAATTTCGAATCGTCTTGGAAAAATTATTTTTTGTTGCAGGGGTCAATTACAAGCATTTTTGGTCATTAGACATACCCTCGAATTCCTAGCCACATACGAGAAAAAAATTCGAGAAGGTGAATAAATTTTTCGTCGAAATTAAAAAATTTAAAATCGTTCTAAAAAAATTATTTTCGGTTGCGGGGGTCAATTAGTATTATTTTTGGTGAATAGACATACCCTCGAAATCCTGCGCATTTTCGAGAAAAAAATTCAGTACGGGCGGAACTTTAAACGTCAATAACTTTTTAACGAAGCCTCCATCAATAAATTGGTATTTTTGATTTTCGTCCTATTTTGACCTCCAGAATCTCCCATTACAATTTTTCCCAGGGGTAGTCGTACACCTTATACATATATGGTTGTTTATCAACCGATAAGAATTTACGAGCTTTTGTTCGCAGTTTGCACGAAGATCACGAACTTTGCTTTCAAGAAATTTAGCATTTCCGGCCCACGTTTTACATTTTGTATACATGCTAAAAGCGCCGAGACCTATTAAAAAGTCCAATACTTCCGCAACCATGGACAAAATAAATGATTCATCGGTCGATTTGTCTGGCAGTTCGTTATATTTCTATTTCGGGTCGAGTTATTACGCGTTACGGAGGAAAATCATGGCTCCTCGAACAAACGAATAACAAATACGTCTGCTACGGCGGTTCTGTAACTCTTATTGGGAAATCCTATAGATTAAAGGGTTAACTGTCAATATGATTGGTGGGATAAAATCTATCGGGGGAACGGGTCTAGGAAACTGCGTTGGAAATACTGTTCTAAAAAAGAACGATCGTCGAATGGGGGGTCTGGGGAGGCCGAGAACGAAATAAACAAGCGGAGAAAAACGATCGGCGGCCGAGTCTGACGCGGAACGGTCTCCTCTCCTGGCACGCAATCTCGTGGAAATTCCAGGGAAGATTCTCATGTAAATCGCGCAACGATATCGAACCACCGGAAGTGGCTAAATGACGATCGCCATTATCCTGCAGCCTGGCGAAGAAGTCGAAGCGAGAGGGAACGAGGGGACAGGGACAGAGACAGATAGAGAAGAGAGGATAGCGGAGGGGGGTGGGTTTGAAGAGTCTCAGCGCGAGGGGGGCGAAGCGCAGAACCGTAGGAGTGGGATCGCGGTTAGCCCCGATGGGTTGAAAGCTTTCGAATCGTCGACCATTTCGTGCGTTGCTCTAGGTATTCCCCTTGATACCGGGCTATTCCATTTACCTCGACGGGCGCGAAACGGGGTGGGGAAAAAATGCCGTAGAATCTGGCAGTCATGGACGCTGACCAGTTTCCAACGTGGCCGGCGCGAGATAAACTATTTGTCTGTTTTCGAACGCTCTTTCCCCATGGGAAATCTGATACGACGTTCACGGTGGTGAATTCGTTTCACCGGTCTGTATTGATGGCACGCTGTTGCAAAGGGTTCCTTTATACTACCCCCCCAACAACGCTCGACGATTCCTCGCCCTTTTGTTTTTTTCCACGCAACGTTTCGCCCTTGCGGCTGCGATCGGTTTATCAAATTAAACTATTCGATCGAACGGAAACGCGTCTTTATTTCCATTGCATTTTTAATGCGAGGCCCCTTTATCGAAAGTGGTCCACGAAACTGGAGCAAGTTGTATTACTTTTCGAAAAAGTTTCGGATTCGCGATTAAACGCGACGGAGTTAATGGAGGCCAGGTTAAAAACGAACTGCGAGAGTCGTCGGCGCGAAGATAACATTTTTCAGGGGATCGGCGTCGGGAGAAAGAAGAACGCACGGAGTTAGGGGGTGAGAATGGCGAAAACATAACAGAGGGAGCGTGAAAAAAAAAGCACGAGCTTCGATCGGTCGTGGTACGCGTATATCGCTAATTAAAATCTGTCGCGTACGTATACGGGATGGAGCGCGAGGGTGGGACCAAAGGAGGGTAAAAAGTAAAAAAAGGTGAGGGAGGGGACGAGCGTCCAGCATCATCGAAAACAGGAGAAATGGGAACGGCGGGAGCAAGAAACGAGGGAAAACGTTGAAATCGCGCTAACGAGAGGATTCGTTATTGGACGGAGGTGGAATATAAAGAACTGTCGTTATCGCGCCTGAGGCGTGTCCCTCGGGCGCGATAGGAGCGCGGGCGGATACGTACCCGGAGCTCGGTCAGCTTTTTAATCGAGTTTCCGTGCTGTCTCGTGGCACACGTTCTCGCTCGTGCCACTCGGACCGGGGGACTTGAAATGCAAATGCTCTCGGTATCAGTCAGTTATTAGGATCTGCTCTTTTTCCCCTTCCAACGTCCCTCTGTCTCGTATTTTCTGTTAGGGGCGGTTGATCCGCTCCGAGGGTATTTCGAAACGACGCCTAACCTACCGAGGCGACTGCTCCGATCCGATTACCCCTCGAATATATTCCCCACCCACTCGATATCAAAATACTTGACCCCTTGCGCAACCATCGTCGTAATAATCTTGTACTCCGACGTCTCCGCGAACTCTAAAAAAATGATCCAAGATCGCGGTAATTGCTCCTTCGTCGGTCGCAAATTATCGGGAGGCGAGAAAGAGCCGGTTTGCAATTTAAATCGCAGCGGTGTTCCGCCCCCGTTCCCGAATTTCGTTAATTGTTCCCGTGTCCCCCAAGTATTCCTTGGAGGTAGAACGCGAGCCACCGCAATCGTTTGATATTTCCTTCGAACTCTGGCGAGCGGCGTGTTTTCGTTCGATCGCAGACGGTGTTTTTAAAGCTTCCAAGATACACGTTTCGATAACTACCGCGCACAAGAAAAATATGTACGATAGAAAAACCGTTGAGACCGAATCGACGATGTTCGTTGAGGACGACTAGCGTCTTCTTTCGCAATTTTCCAATTGAATCGGGGGGTTCAAACTGCGTCTTGCTTTCGTCATTGCGTGATATAAACCGTGTTCTCCGAGGTGGAGGTGAAAAGTGGGGATTTCTCACCATTTTCAATGTCCTTGAAATATACCATCTGAATTATCCTCGGGTTGAGTTGGAGAGAAAATATTAAACTTTATTCTTAATTATTATTATTCTTATTATTATCGGTATTGTTAACAGAAATTGGAAAAATGTCTGCCATTATATCAAGAAATGCAGGTATTCTTGTATTAAAATCATGACGACCAATGACAAATAATGTATACTGTGTCAAGCTAATATCGGATAATATTAATAAAGGAAATTGAAATAGAAGATGAAAATCTAACCTAAACCTAATCCATTATATTAATTACTAGGTAGAATAGTTAGGTCTGGGTCAAATTTTCTTTCTACTCAAATCGAGTTTTCCAAAATCTAGGAAACTAAGACCAAGCGGCGCGGTTATATGTATAGAAAAAAAATCTTCATAACAGTGACCTTCACAACATATATCAAGGTCATCGAAATTGGTGAGAATCGCCAAAGTAAATAATTGCCGAAACGGGCAGTGAAGCGTTGTAACTGAGACAGGTAGAAGGGGGGCTCGGAAGGATGTATCGATTTCATGCTGGACCAGCGTAAGTGACGAGGCGTCGTATAAATTACTGGAATAAACGAGCCAGGTGCGCTTGACTTTCCCCCTACGGTCGACAACGTTCACCTGACATCCGCAGCTGCGGCAAAGTGCGACAGGCTTACATCCCGCCGCGGCCGGATTGGTCCACTTGTTACGGTAGAAACCAATCGGGCCTGGACAACTCCTGAACGTCACCGGACTGTCGTTGCTTCGTCCCGATGGATCCTAATGATCGTTCCCGGGGCCAGCATTATCGCGCGATCCCCGAAACGCCTCCGATTCCGTAATACCTCCCCTCGTATCGATGTGTGTACGTATCGGTCAACCTGGACGTTAAATTTGCGCTCCTTG